TGTGCCTAAAATAAAACTTAAAAGTAAGGAGTTACAAGATTAATTTTTCAATTTTTATTTTAATAATGTCAAAAATACATTTTTATACTTTATTTTCAATAATTATATGTGTATATTTAATTATTTTCACTTTTTTTTAATGAAATGCACTTTAAATAATAATAATAATAATAATAATAATAATAAATTATATGTAAACTTAATAATATATATATACATATGTTTTAATAATTGGTAAGTTAATTTTATCAAAAAAATTTAAATTCAATCAATATGTTAATTCTTAAATTTTCATCTCACAACTTTTTTCGGTTAACTTTTTCAACGAATTATGCCTAACAAAACTTAATAACTTAAGAATTTAATCAAATACTCTAAACCCTCTCGTTTTGTAGCTAGAGTTAAAATATTTAGGATTTTTTTTATCCGACCAAGGTATCTCTTATTTGTAACGACCCAGCTGGTCACTACACTCGGCACAACACACCGGAAACACCAGACAGATAGAACAAGTATATAGATATAGGATCTAGAATATAAATATATACAAAGTTCCAATCCGACTAGAGTTAGAGTGTGCACAAAATACAACAAAGCTATTACACCCAGTAGCTAAAACAACAAAACATCTACACCAATCAGCTCCGTCTGCCAGCTACAGACCTACCGCCAGCCACCAACCTATCCCTGCTCTGCTCCCATACATAGTATGATCATCGCAGTCCAAACATCATGAAAACAACAAAGGGTAAGCTAGTGTGAAGAAATCAACATACATATATAAATATGTGAATAAAATAAAATAATAATAAATAAATAAAAACATCTACAGCTATTAACACGTCCGCACAACTTACATTACACCACAACAATTCAGCAATATCAGCACCGCTCAGCGGCTATAACAGCACCACAGTAGTGGCTAACAGCACCGACGTAGCGGCTATAACAACACCACAATAGTGGCCAAACACAACATATAGCTCAGCAATAGACAGCACAACAAAACAGCTCACAACGCAGCACAACAAAAAAACAGCATACGGCACAGCTAAGTAGTATTCAAAACAGCTTACTACTCACAACTCAGCTCATCATTCTAGAGCACAATCATATTATAAATCAGCATTTAAAATCATCAATAACAGCCCAGTTCAGCACAGAGATATACATCTATTACAGCTTAACATCATTTTTCAGCTTTTACATCTAGTCAGCACAACATATTTATCAATTACATCTCAGCTCAGCAATTTCAGCATAATTCAACAACTATCAGCATATAATTCAGCTCGACTCAAACAATAAAGTTCAGCATTAGCATCACACAACACAACTCAGCGTTACATCATTAACAACATACAGCACAACACAACTTTTCATCACACGACATTGGCAGCATTAATCAGCATAAACAACATTCAGCACAGCTCAGCTTGATAACACAACCTATCAACTTACAGCACATCTAAGCATCTTACAGCAATATACACCTAACACAGTTCAACATCATCAAACAGCAATTTCAGCTAGTCATCACATCATATTCATCAATTTCGGCTTAGTTCAGCATAAAATAATATTATCATCAAATTTGGCATATAACTTCACATCCTCATACACGTCCGGCGCACTCATGGTCGCGCCCGGCGTGGCACAACCAGAGGGCTCCAAGGCCAGCGCGCCCGGCGCAAGCGTGTCTGCGCCCGGCGAGACTTATCCAGAGAGTCCCAAGCCCTCTCTCGCGCCTGGCGCAATACCCAATTGCGCCCAGCGCAGGCCAGGCAGAGACTCCAAGGACTCTCACACGCCCGGCGCGCCCCAACCCGCGCCCAGCGCAGGTAAGGCAGAGACCTCCCTTGGTCTCGCGCCCAGCGCAAACCAAATTGCGCCCAGCGTCCTCGAGGCAGAGACTCCCAAGGAGTCTCACGCCCAGCGCGACAAGGGCCGCGCTCAGTGCAGCTCATCAATATCATCATTCAGCTTAATAATCATTCATCACTAACAGCTTAAAACAACATGATCAACGCCTAATACGAACCAACCATCTTGTTTACAACTCATCTATCTTGTCAAATTACTCACCCAAACAATAAGAGTACACCTAAGCACCTAGAACAACTTTCAAGTTAACTGAATCACTAAATGTGAAATGGCAACCATCACAGCAAACAACGCATCAGGAGTTATACTAATCCTACTCTGCGCATCCTTATCTCATATGATAGATAATCAAATTTCCTACAACTCTCATGAAGACACCAAGTCTTAATTCCTTCGTTTACCATGCTAAAAATGATAAAAACCGCAACAGCTATAAACAAAGCTAGCAGCTCGACCCGTCTTCACTAAAACAACCATATCTAGAGTTCTAAAACTCCTTTTTGAGTGATTCCAGTGCCATTGGAAATCTAACATCCAAGGCTACAACTTTCATGTAGACTATAAAGTCAAATTCTGAAAATAAAATTCTCGCCCGGCGCATTAAGTGCGCGCCCGGCTCAATTCTTAATCAGAGACCTACAAAGGTCTATTGCGCCCAGCGCGGTCCTCCCTGAGCCCGGCGTGATTTACCTAGAAATTACCCATTTCAAGTCGCGCCCAGCGCGAAGAACTGCGCCCGGCGCGAATTCAAACGGGAACCCTTACTTGCTTCGAAGATTTCATCAAAACCTGCGAAAAATCACATCCCAAACACATGCAAACCCAGCAAAGTGTCCCATTTTCAACCAGCTGCTCAAAAATCATGCCTTTTCGTACATGCAACAATAAAACAAGAATTTCCCCAAAGTTTCTCAAAGAACCCCGAAAACCCCATACTCCAATCTCAGCAAAATCACCAAACATCAAATAATCAAGGAGTTCCTAGAACTCGTTTTCAGCCAAAACGCAACAAAAACTAACTTCCCTTACCTCAGTGCGAAGATCCGAGCTTCCGGGAAGAGAAACAGAGAAGAAGAAAAAGAAAGCTCCACGAAGAAGAAGGAAAGAAGCTCCGCACAGTTCAACATGAAATCTAACCTTCACTCAGCACCTTCAATCCAAAAGAGCACCACCCAGAGAACAAAATCAGCCACAATAGAAGAGTAAAGGAGAAATGAGTGAGAGTGAAAAGGAAATCCGGGAAGGAAGAGAAAAGGGGGAAGGGTCTCACATTATTTCATTGGATTAGATTAATTTTATTCACGATATTGTAATTATTATTAGCTTTAAAGATTTTTACATGCAACTAAAATCAAATACGAGATTTTAATTTTTGCTAAATAAACAACTTTCACAACATGTAAATGTAAGGTGTTTAACTAATCATCAATCCATCATATTATAATATATGATAAAACATGATATAGTAATTATTATACTAAATTACACTTTTAGTCTCACTATAATTTTCAATCCACAATTTTGTTCGTTTTTTTATTATTAAGCAATTTTGGTCCCAAATTTTAAAATTATGCAATTTTAATCTCATTTATCAACTAAATCATAACATAATGTTAATGTTAATATGAATTGATAATGTGTCACTTTAATGATAAGATAATGGCTCATATAAACTTATGAAATGACATGTTAGTAATGATCCAAACTAATAACATAAGTGTTGACATGAAAAAGAAATATAAGATTTATTTAAAAAATAGTAATAATTGGTCCTGTGAAATGAGAACTAGAACTCACCACCTTTATTAAAAATTTCATCATTTAAACCACTCTACTACTTATAACTTGAACAATATATTTATATAATATTGTTATTTGAGTTAATTTTTTTTTAAAATAAAAAAGGAGAACAAGAACCACATGTACCAAGAAAACACTAGTACTTTCATAATTTACCACAAAATGACAAAAAAAAAAAAAATACCAATCAACCATCACATGTATCTCATGTGAAAAGTTACACCAGTAATAACGTTTAAAAAAAATGCTAGATCAAATGTAACCTTTCACATGACATACTCATAGAAGTAAAGTTTTTTTTAGAAGAATATGCTACCTTCCACATGGTCTACATGTGGAATCCACTTGGGCAAAACAAAAATAAAAAATGAAAAGATAAAAAATGCTGGTTTGACTAATATTTTCTACTCTTGACCATCCTTGATTAGTAAATAACTTCAAAACGATTCCCTTTTGTTGAATAACTTCTAAAATTGACCCACTTTTGTCGTAAAAAAATAATTGTAATTCTTAAAGCACTTGGTAGGAGGATACATGTATATCTTGTTTTATAATCATTCATAGTTGCAGAAGTTGGTTATGTACATATAAAAACATCAAACTTATTTTCAGAAAAAAAAAAAAAAAAAAAAAAAAAAAAACAAAAAATTTTTTTTTAAAAAAAATTTTTTTTAAAAAAAATTTTTTTTAAAAAAAATTTTTTTTAAAAAAAATTTTTTTTAAAAAAAATTTTTTTTAAAAAAAATTTTTTTTAAAAAAAATTTTTTTTAAAAAAAATTTTTTTTAAAAAAAATTTTTTTTAAAAAAAATTTTTTTTAAAAAAAATTTTTTTTAAAAAAAATTTTTTTTAAAAAAAATTTTTTTTAAAAAAAATTTTTTTTAAAAAAAATTTTTTTTAAAAAAAATTTTTTTTAAAAAAAATTTTTTTTAAAAAAAATTTTTTTTAAAAAAAATTTTTTTTAAAAAAAAAAAAAAAAAAAAAAAAAAAAAACCAACTTTTATTTTATTTTATTTTATTTTGAAAGCTCATTTAAAAGAAATAAAAATAGAATTACATTTGTATTTAAGCTGACTAAACATGCAATTATATAGCTTCTAAGCAACGGAATTTAGTATGAGGTACATCACTAAAGAGAGAACATCAATCTCTACAAGTGATTCAGAATTTTGTTTCTTAATTTTCTCGTACGTCCTTGAAGACAAGCAACATGAGAGGTCAAATAGTTCATTCTTATAACTATTATATGTACGAGAACAAATCAAAATTGCATGCGTATACAAAATCACAGTGAGAGAGAGGGGATTACAAATCAAAATGCTAGAAACATGATTTTTTATTTTAATAATTCATTGAAAATAGAATTTAGAACTTGATACAATCTATCAAAATCCCTCGTCATGGACGAACCCTAGTGGTATACTAGAAACATGATAGGACTATAGGAACCACGAGTAATCAAAGAATTTTGAATAGACAAATAAATATTGTTGGAAAGAAAAATAAATTATGTGATTAATTAATTTTGCTCCTTCCGTTTTGGGCCATAGAGTTGTATCTCTCGTCGATTCAGTGGTTGTACAGGTCTGGAATTCCTCTCTGCATGCTGCCATAGAGTGAATCACACATAGATAACAGTTAGATACATGGTTGAAGATGATGATATCCCTAGTGTTTTTTTTTTTTTTTGCTCAAAAGGAAATGGCTCAACATTATTAAATACATGTTTATTTTCATAATTAGTGCAATAAGTAAATCAAAGTATAATACTTACATCGTGGACAGCCTCTCTGAGTAACTTCACTTGTGCCCTTGACACACTTCTTATCTGATGAACATGCAAGTATATAAGGGTTCAGTTAAAAAGGTAATTAATTGGCATAATTTGGTGGCAAAACATATAAGAATAGTAGCATTTGAAGGTTAAGTTTGAAAGAATAATACCCTTTTATTGATAGTCCAAATGACACCTTCAGTGCAAGGGGGAACAGTGAGGGAACCTAAGTATCTGTAGTAGTTCTTGCCACCGAGTTTAATTTCTGAGGGATGCATCACCCCAATGCTATTTTCTCCTTCTTCATCCACCATGGATTTTATGAATTTTGACAACTGAACACCATTTCAACCACACTTATTATTCATATAAATAAATTTCCTAATCAAGCTCTTCATGCATCATATATTGTTGTGTGTTTTCATGTTATCCCATTGGATCATCAAGCAAAATGAAGTTACTTACCTTGCTGAGAACAGGATCGGGCCGACCAATCTTAAACAGAACTCCAACAACTGCAATTTTGCCTTTTCCGTTTGTGCTTTTGCTTTCATGAACCAAGTGGAGCTCCAAATCATACCTAATATTTCAATTTTTTTTTCAAGAAACAAAACAGTTATTTTTCCATCAAAATCTAGATTTCACCTCAGAAACAACCAATTAAATAGTGAAGGAGAATTTTCAATTTTAAAAAAACCCACGCCCAAAGGTTTTTTATGCATAAAATGATATTTTTCAGCAAGGATTCTTGTGCTGATATAATAATTTATATTTAAACAATACTTATAATGTGTTTAAAGGGGTGATTTAATAAGAAATGAAGAAGAAAGAGAGATTATCAAAAAATTTAAAAAAATATATATTTAAAAAGAATGATTTAAATGAATTTGTGAATTTTTTTTTATGAGATCCATATGGATTTAATTTCATCTTAAAGTTAGATTTGGGTGAAATTTTTTACCAAAAAATATATGAATAGAATTACTCTTATATATTCTCTAAATAATTAATTAAAAATAAATAAAAATATAATTATTTAAATAATATATTTTTACATAAAAATTTAACTATATAAAATATATTTTTAAAATATTAAATTATCTTTATTTCTAAATTAATTTCACTCTTTATTTTTCTTTATTTTATATTATATTTTACATATTTCCTATCAAATCAAATTTTTTCCTTCTCACAAACAAATCATTAGCGTCATTGAACAAAACAAATGCTGACACACTGCATTGATAAAAAAATGAAAACAATAAAAGACAATGATTTTGAAGCAGAAAAACCTTCTGCCATTGATGGTATGTTCTGAGGGTGAGTGCCAGTGCCCTTGATGCAGAAAATATTCAGTGCCGTTGATGTTTATTGATCCCGCATCTCCCTCCCATTTCACCTGCATCCATTACATTAATATAATTAAATATAAGCTATTTCATATTTAAATAATTTAGATATCTTATGGACTTATAGCTTAATCTCCACAAAATTAAGAGCCACCAAGCTAAATATGAATGACAGTTAATTGCCAAGACATGCTGAGTTGTCTAAATTTAGAACCCCTCTATAAAAAATGTCTCAATCATTAAAAAAAAATTGTTTCATTTTATTCTAGAACTAGAACATACGAAAAGTAAAAAAATAAATAAACTTTGAGCTTTAACACAATCACATATTTAAACACAAGAACTTGAAACTAATATTTAAATTGAAACAATTATATACACATTTATTCCTGTATTTTATATTTTATGTCAACCATTCTTTACCGTTGCGATATAGTATCACGCAAAACAAGCTAAATGTTTTTGGGCATGTGCAATGACAGGTAAGAAAACATTGTCGGGTGGGAGAAGTACGAGACTTTGTGGAAGAATAATTTCTAAATTTGTTATAATGTCTTTTTAATTATTACATTAAAAAGTATTACATATTTTTTATATATATTTTTAAGATACTAAATTTACATGTATTTTTATATTTAATCTTCTTATAAAATAATAGTAAGATTAATAAGAAGGGTGTAAAAGGGAGAATAGAGAAATAGAAAAAGCAGAAAAATAAAAAGAGAAAGTGAGGATTGTGATTTTTGTCAATATTGGTGGAAATAAAACGTAAGGAAAAAAGGAAAAAAGGAAAAATAAAAGACGTATGAAATTGTTGAACTAATGTTACTGTGCAACTAAACATGTACCTATGATCCATCATAGTGCATCATTGTTTTGTGACTCAGACACTATGATGTCTCTTCCACTCTCTTTGAATTTGTAGGTGGGTTCAGGATTCAGAAAACTGTAACAATAAAGTTGTTTCTTTTCCTTTATTTTGCAACACATAATAAAACTAAAACAAATGTTTCAAACATGAATCTGTTTGTGAGGTTGAGATATTGTGATGAGTTACCTCAATATCATGGCCTCTGTTCTTGACAGTGGCATTCTGTGGCTTATAGTACTTCTTTAGTTCCCCTAACTTTGGTACCACTCTCACTCTGTGGCTTGACAAATCAATTGGAGATTGCATTGTGCCACTTTTACATGTTTCCCATTCCTTCTTCAGTTCCCCCCAGTGTGAGGGACCCTTCTCACTCCCTTTTATGTAATCAAACTCACTCTCATCCTCTGCACAAACACATACAATAATGAATTATGAATGAACACACATCAAATCAACCAACAAAGCATGAACCAAAAGAAGGAAATTGAGACTTGTTCCTCTTACCAACTTCCTGTGCACTAATCCATGTTGTTGAATGGAGTAGGATGGTTACTAGTATTAGCAAATTCGGAAGAAACACTATGCTTTGATGCTTCATGTTAATTTCGATCAAAAGGATGAAGATTGAGACTTGGAAAGTTTTAATGAATAAGATGAAAGAGGGTGGTTGAGGTTCTCAGATATATGCAATCAAAGGGATGAGGCATAGTATATATATACTTTGCCAGCATTAAAATGTTTCAAGGTTTGGTGAGGGAAAAGATCGGA